TTGTGCATGATGTCAAAAACTAATGCTGCAGCACTGGCAATATGTAAGATCATGCCAACCCTTCACCTCATCCCCATAACCTAGACAGGGCCAAGGACACCATAACCTACATGTCAACTACAAACTTTTGTAGTCTCAAAAAGCGGACACTACAAACTTTTGTAGTCTAAAAAAGCGGACACTACACACTTTTTCAAATGAAAAAGCAGACACTACAAACTTTTCCAATAAAAAAGCGGACACTACAAACTTTTGTAGTCTAAAAAGCGGACACTACAAACTTTTCTGATGACAAAAGCAGACATTACAAACTTTTGTAGTCTAAAAAAGTGCCTTTTCTAAAGGCTCTCATGCTCTCTTTTGCATATGATTCCTCAAACTAGACATGGAATAGAGTCCCTGCAATGTATCTGTATATTCCCCAGCCATTTCCCCATCAAATATGTGCCATGTATGGGATGGATGGGCTAGGTTGACTTTGGATAACCTTTTAGCCCTAACCCTAACTTTGTAGTCTAAGTCCAACTTTTGTAGTCTTTTGTAGTGTATCAGTAAAATTTGTAGTCTATGTCCGACTTTTGTAGTCTTATATAGTCTATCAGTAAACTTTGTAGTTGAGTCCGACTTTTTTGTAGTCTATATCTGACCATTCCTTTTCTAGGGCATGCACCTTCCTTTTTTGGTCATTTTTCCCACGATACAATAGTTGTAGCCCTTTCTTTTAGCTTTCTAAATATACTGAAATCATACTGTTTGGTTTTGTTTTCATGGAGAAAAATGCAAAAAACAAAAAAAAAACATGACACTTTTGGGATTCCTTTACCTCATATCACCACAATGGGAGCACTTCAGAACATAATTTAAACAGATTCAGGAAGCTACAGTGTAGGGCTACAACTTTTGTTTTTTGACCATTTTTGGTAATTGGTCATGTGACCATCATCCCAACATCCCATTACATGGACCCTGATAGGTAAAATCATTCTCTGCTTGGTTTTCTTCACTTTTTGGTCAAACCAGGTGATATTTCCCTTTTGGGATGGAACCTGAAGTGGACCCTGAAGGCAGTGCCTGATGTTCTGTACACCATTTATATATATATTCAATTTTTCCGCTATTTTTCTGGCTATTTTTGGATATATTACCATATTTGGAACTGGACCCTGGACCCTGACAATGTTACCCAACATGATGATCAGCAATGAGCCCTAATTTTTCCTGATTTTATTGCTATTTAACATTTGGAAATGCACCCTGGACCCTGAAAGGTCAGCTGCTGCTAAAAATGAAATATTCATTGAAGCGCCAGGTACACATATGAAAAGTGCAATGAAATCTCCTAGGAATAAGAATGAAATATCCATTGAAAGTGCCAGGCATCCAAATGAGAAGCACAATGAGATATCCTGGGTTTAGCAATGAAATATCCAATGAAAGCACCAGGTATATCTATGAAAAGTGCAATGAAATATCCTAGGAACAAGAATGAAATATCCTGGGGCTAACAATGAAATATCCAATGAAAGCGCCAGATATATATATGAAAACTCCAATGAAATGTCCTGGAGCTAAGAATGAAATATATATTGAAAGCGCCAGGTTTTCATATGAAAAGCAAAATGAGATATCCAGAGATAATGAATGAAATATTGCAGGAAATCGCAATACAATATTAATGAGATCACTTAGGCCATTTAATGAAAAAACCAAATGAAATACACAAGGAACTTAATGAATGAAAATACTAGACAAAATAATGAGTTGTCTCATTGAACCTCTAGGCATTATACACATCGCCTTCCAGGCATGTGTCTGGTTTTTATCATAAGAGTGTATACCACTAGTGGGTAAGAAGTCAAATCATCTAGTGTATTTGTATCGTAACTTAACGTTCCTCTCACTGTACCAGCTTTCATATATATATATTTAACATAACTTCTCGGTTTACTGGAGATGCATGAAAAGGAGGAATTGATATCGGTTTGGTATCAGGAATTAACGGAATCCTTACTTCCTCGGCGTAACTTCCCAAGCGCCCATCCAAACCAAACACTTCCTTGTGTTTGATTAAAATACGCTGAATTTCCTGAGTTTGATTTTGTGTAAGATTGGAAGAGATATCGATTTCCTGTAACAACTTCCCTTCAGGAATGGTCTCTTCCGGCATTTCAGCTGTCTTCGGTCCCAGCCCAGGCTGTAGTTTTAGACGAAATTGACCTGGAATGTTCCACCTTATTCATTTCCATAGGGTGTGCATTTGGCCACTTGGCCAAAATGCCATGGGCTGTGGAACATTGGAATATTTGAAAAAAAGCCTTTCAAAATTAAAAATCATTGCACCTATAATAAAATATACCCCCAGAATATGTTTTCTGCTTATAATATCATTCTACAGCATCTATTTTTAGCCTGGTATGTTTGTGATTTATTACAAATCTAAATATAGCTCACATGTGTTTTATGATTAAAAATTCTCAGAATTGGGATATCCTGTGGATCAGTATTGATGACTGATATGTTTTCTGTATGTTTTGTCTACCCAAAGAGCGTCCAGATATGTTTTTTCTTGAGATCCAGAATGTTTGTAATTTATTACAAATCTAAATATAGCTCAGATATGTTTGATGATTCAAAAGTCTCACATTCTGCATCAGCATTGATGACTGGTATGTTTTCCTGTATTCTGTGGATGTTTTTTTTTGCCTAAAGAGCATCCAAATATGTTTTTTCTTGGGATTCAGAATGTTGGACAGATCTAAATATAGCTCAGATGTGTTTTATGACTGAAAAATTCTTAGAAATGGTACATCCTGGATCAGCATTGTTGACTGGTATATTTTCTTGTATTCTGTGTATGTTTTTCTTGCCAAAAGCACATCCACATATGTTTTTCCATGTCATAATCCTTCTAAAAAAGCTGCATTTCACCAAAATATTCCAATTGTAATGATTCTCATTTTTCTCCATCAAAACTTGTGTTACAGCTACTCAAAGCTAACAAGTAAATGTAGAAATATATTTCTGATTTTTTCAAAAAAAATCCGCCTCAACCAGAGGTGTGGAGATGATGGATGCACAAGTCATGTTCTGGATGACCTTTTGTTCTTTGATCCTTCTAGGTAACAAACAACCATCAACAAAGGTAGCTTCTGAGAGCGGAATCATGAAAAGTGCGCTTTTGAGGGTGTCATTCAATATATTGATGGATTTGACTTCATACTTCTTCAATTCCAACTGGTTTGTATCATATAGTTTGTATTTTGTATTTCAATTCAGCAGCTTTTCGGATGGATGGCTCAGGTTCCAGCTGGATGACGTTGCCACACAAGTACAAATAGTTGGCCCCCCCAGGGCACCAGTGCCCAGATCTTCAAAAGGCACGGTTATTCATCCTCTACACTTGTATTCAATGAAAAATATACATTTTAGTACTCTAAAGGTAGAACTGAATCCAATTTTTCATGTTTTACATTTACGGCGCCCTCGCAAGTGGATGGATGCAACATAGTGAACTTGGATGACGCGTTTGAAGCTGAAGACAAACAGATGCAAAGTTCTCAAAAAAAAATCGGAAAAGCCACTGAAATTGAGCCAAGAGAGGAAGGGAACAATTGGTAATACATATCAGTATGTTGAATTTACAACACTGGACTTGCTCTCTTATCAGAAGTTGGATAAAAATTGTAGAAAAGGAGTATCTCTGTCTGTAAATGTCAAAAACATATCATTCCAGCAACTTGTAAACTAATACATGCTAGCTATAGCCTACCAGCACTCAGTAAATAAGTAAAGGAATATTAGGACAGGCAGTGTCAAATTTTGAGTGAAAGAACACACCTGAAAGTCTTGTTCCAACTTTTTGATTTTTAGGAGGGTTTTAAAACATTGAATTGTGTTGGGAAATCTTGCTCTGCTTGCCTAATTTTGAGGGAATCTGATTTACCTCTTCTTAGCTGAAGGTGGGTGTTTACATAAAATTTGTGAGTACTGTATTCACTTTGATAATGAAGGTTTTGTTGTGAAAGCCATTGCATAGGGTGTGTTTCTTCAGACTTTAACTATACTGTGTCCACTTAAACCATCCAATGGCCATAAAACTCCATAGATATCTTCAGAAGGAAAAACTGAATGTATTCCCAAAGTTTTATGGAAATCAGAAGATTGTGGAGATACAGGTGGATGGGATAGATGCAGAGGGTCATAGTCAAGGGGGTGTCGGGATCATAATCCTGGACCGGGGGCCGGTTGGTTGGTTGGGCCATCAGGCCGTTAAAAATAAATTGGAAGCTCGAAAATTTTGGCCCAAAACAATTATAGGTGGCCTTCCTGGTGGATAAATTATACATAATAGATACTAGAAAGCCTCAAGATGTGCTAAATGCCTGAGGATGCACCAAAAAACACCACTGAGACTGCTTACATAAGACAATAATAACATCGGACCATTGATAACTTTCGTTAGTATGGCAACCGTTACAGCAAGGAAACATGTGAAAAATGAAAATGTAAGGTTGTCGATTGGAGGATTGCTTTTGTGGATCCCGAGCAGAGCTGACCACTGCCAATGTGATCCAGTGGGATGTGAAACTGTGTGGTCAACTAAACCCACTTTCTGTTAGGTTTTCAACATAAAACATACTTACATCTTCATGTCAAACCATTCTGATATCACCTCATTTGTGTTTACCTTGTGCAGGTGCCCATACATGGGTTCAACATCGAGAGGCACGAGGACAGGAAGACAGCGGTGATGTCATATTTCCTAAAATAGACACGTGCCTGATTACGTTGGGTGGTTGGTTCAGCCCAGCGCTCACTACCAAAAAAATCGACCCTAGGTCTTTTTTTTTTATCCCGACACCCCCTTGGTCATAGTAAACCAACTGAAAGTGCCGGAATCTCATTTGCGAGATTGGACTTCTTATGACTTTTACTCGATGAATACACATTGTCACCTATCTTAAATGTTTATCCTATTCCTCAGAACCTCTGAATACTTTTTTCTATCCTTTTTTCTTCTCAATAACGAACGCAGGAGAGACTTGCGCAGCTCGCCGTCAGCGCTCGGCGTTTTCCGAGCGCTGTTGATGCGTGGTTGAGCATGCCACGTTGTCGTCTCATCATGCCTTCCTTCAACATCCGACTCGCCTTCCCATTCGACACTCGTCCCTCGACAACTCCCGTTCGGCGTAACAAACATCGTTGATAACTCCCAAGTCGCATGCCGGTCCACGGTCTTTTTTCCTACACAAGCAATGCTTTGGCTGTTTAACCTCCGACTCCCTTGAGCCTTCCCTTTCCCCAAAGCTTCCACTGTAAAAGCGGACTATACAACGGGAGCGAACGGGCAGGCACGGCAAGACCATTTGGCGACCTCTATACACGCAATGATAGGACATTGGGGGTTGAGCAGGGAGATGGGGCCGGGTGGGGCATTCGTTTTCGTTTCAAGACGAGGCTGATGTGTTGTATGGGTAGCTTCTATGACAATGTATGAGGAAGTCGCTCCCTTGTAACATGGACACCACGTCCCGGTGCGTGTCTCAAAACCTCGTACGTGTTCTTTCCTCTTCGTTCCTTCCCCTCCCAACTTGTTAAATCATATCAACTAGGCAAACACTCCTACCTAACTAATCGGATTACCCACCCAAGCGTGCCACGTCGATGGTGACACCAAGACTCCACAACGAGGGACGACAACGGCGGTTTACCACTACACCCTCCACCGATGACGGCGACCGCCCACCACTACCACCACAACGGCCACGAGTGCCCACCACTCACGGATGGCGATCAGCGCCCATGATCATCACCACACGAATGACCGGCGACCGCCCACCACCATCAATCACCGGATACGCTCGCGTGAAACACAGAGCACGCTTTGACTCTACTCATTGCGTTCATTACTCACACACTTCACTCATGACTAACGTGTCATGTCGATTTCACGACGATGACGCCCATGCCGCCAAGACCCGACTACGACGATGCTCCTCCATCATCACCCTCCACAATAACGGCAACCGACCACCACCACCACAATCAAACTGGTCACAACGACACCCTCCCGTCACTCACGCTCCAGCACCAACCCATCCATCCAACAGTCATGCCTCCAATCCAGCAGCACCACCAACCGAACCCATGCATCAACCCCCACCAAATGGCGCTGAGCACATAACCGCTCCCCTGCATTCCCAAAGTCACAGACAACCCAGCTGCCACGTCGCCGACAGGACGTGGCAACCAGACGGTTCGTCATCATTGAACTCGACTGCAGCGAAACGTACACTTCGCGGTGCAGGAACTGAGCCCAGGTAAGTAAGTGTACGGCCCTCTCCTCCCTGACAAACGATGATGACAGATGTTGTCGTCCTCTATTGATGACAACGACCATGCGGCCATGACAAACGAGCACGAAGGAGTCAACGGACGATCAAGACCACGACGCACGAGCACGGAGCAGACAACGGACGAGCATGGCCACGACCACGGTCACGACGTATCACTACGATGCAAGGGCCATCGCCACGGACAACGCACCAACAGCCGTGACCATGACAACGACGATAATGGACGATGACAGACCAGCACGATACGATGACGCTACCACGACCGCAACGGATGACAGCGACATGGACCACAACGAACACGTACGTACTACCATGATAGACCACGACAATGGTCGACCGCGATGCGAAGATGACTGCCATAGGGACCACCACGACGAACACGACGGGGACCACCACGACGACGATCACCACGAGCGTGTGGCCGAGCCAATCCAGGATCGGACTCGACTGTGTCAAGCACGAGGTGGAAGGGCATGGCAGCAAGCGGGGTGATGTATCCAAGGGATGGCACCAATCGCTGGAAGCGGGCAGGTGCAAGGATGACGCTGAATCGCTATTTCTCATTTTCATGAGGTTGTTGAGAGCCGATTTATTTGTTTCTTAGATATGTATATCATCACATCTTTTATTATGTCCTTTGGACAGTCTATGCTTCCCTGTATGTCGTGCCGCTAGCCTCTTTTCAAGTTTTTTTCAAGTTGTTTACATCTGTGTACCAACAGCGTTTACGGCCCACTGTCATCCGAAAAGGGTTTGTCGCATCCGACTATTTCGGTCTGATTTGACGAAGGGAAACTATCTGAACTGGCCTGAACAATATCAAACATATATTTGGTGAAGTTTCAGAGGTGGTTTCTAGGAGGAACAAAGCTGTATGACATAAATATCTCCTCAGAACCAAAACTATGCATTGTTGACAATTGTGTACCAAAGGTTTTAACAGGCCCAATGGATTTGTTGCATCCAGCATATTTCGGTCAGATTTGACAGAGGGAAACTATTTAGGAGTGATAAATAATAAATCTGTACCCATATAATATCAACAATACCTCTTCCCACCCACCCTACAGCAAGCTGTGCATTAACCCACATCCAGACCAAGTGGTCAATTGCACTCCCTATGGAAATGAATAAAGTGCATTCTTCCAGTTGATAAGGCATAGGGCTACAGCCAAGGGTGTCGGTCCACCTTCAACCGGACGTTCAGCTAATAGATCTTCTCCTGAGTACTTTAGTCTTGACAGATCCAGTATTTCCCGTACCTGACTCCTACCAGTATGCATTGAAGTGTTAGTTGGCGTAGTCACTTTGAAAGTTGTGGTCTGATTCTGAAGTAACGTCTGGATCAGATGTACTCTCCTTTCCGCATCCTGTTTTTGCGTACTCGAGTAACAGTCCTTCTTGTCCAACCACGATGACGGATTCTTAGCTGTTCCTAGAACTTGTCCTGCTGGAATTGTTATTGGATTCTTTGAGAAATTTGAAACAAACACCCTACTGTCGTCGCGGTCGACTAGTGTATCGGCAATTCCATACAGTTCCTCTGCATTTCCGTTTGACAGGAATGACCTTTCGACAAAGATGGTAGACGTCGAGTCATTGAGGCCGGCATCCACGTGTACTAGCTTCGATGCTTCGGGAGGGATGGTTACCTGGTGTCTTGACCGTACTTGCCGTTCGGCTTGTCGATGTCTGGTGCGCTTCTTCTGTACTTGAGATTTTTGATGAGCCTTAGATTTTAAGACTCGACTAGTGACATCAGGCCTAACTCTTACCTTGAATGCATGTCCATCTTCATCCAGGAAGGGCGTGCTCAGAGAGTTATGGACTTTAACCGATCTTCCTGACGATCCGAATTTCAAAGTGGTCTCTCCTTCCTCGCGAAGTACTGATATAGAGTATTGGTCAGCAAAGTCGTTTCCTAAAATGAATTCGGCTGACATTCCTTTCACAACATATGCTTCGACATTAATCTGCACAGGTCCCTTGGGCGTCTTGAAGATCAAATCCAGTATGACGTAGCCTGTGATGATGGCTTTACCGGTAACTTGGATCAGTTTGATCTGTTGACCCACGCGAATCTTGGGCGCTTTTAACATCTGATCAAGCGTCTTTTGCGAAATCAGGGTTATGTCTGATCCGGAATCGATGATAACGGGAATAGGCCTGGTGTCTAATCCGTTTAGTGATGCGTACGCCTCGGTTACTTTAGCTCCCAAGAACGCACATCCGGGCGGACGAGCTAAATGCTTACGCAACTCTATTAAGTCACCATTACTTTCCTGTACTTGAGTAGCTAACGTGGTCATCTGAATTTCGCGTGCCAGCTTACGTCTCGTTTTTCGGTTAATCTCGGGCGGTCTCCGTCGAATAATGAAGTCTGAAGATAGACAGGGGGCTGTCGAGTAAGGATTCTTCAAATTAGTTTTCCAGTCGGCTCCTACGTGATAGATCTTACTAGTATGGTATTCCCCCCCCAGCGAAGACGGATCCTTCACTGAGAGGGTCCTTGAAAATCCGACTTGTCCAGATGGTCCGAATTTTCGTCTACAGTATCGTCGTCACTGAAGGTTTCGTAATAAAGATCGTCGTACCTGTCCTGAGCTTCCTTCTCGTCTTCCTGAAGAGTCACCGAATTAACTCGAGCGAACCTTTCCCCTTTGCGAGCGTATTTGCAGTCTCTATCCCAATGTTTAGGACTTCCACAATGGCGACAAGGCCGGGCTCCCTTCTCTTCTGGAGTTCCTCGCGGCGAAACATTTGAGTCGTCTTTGGGAAATTGCGGTTTAGAGGTGTTGCGAGTCCATCCTACTAGATTAACATTTGCCCGTTGCGTCCTAAACGGGTTGAACGGACTCTTAGGCTGTGTATCCTTGTTGTAATAAGAGTTCCTGACAGGAGGTAAAGGCTTGTTACCTGACTTAACGAGAGAGTCTTCATGGAATTTGACTGCAAATTGAAATTGTTCAAGAGTCTGATATAGGTGTGGTGTGACGACCGGTGTCCAGTAAGAGGGTGCGCCCTCCATTATTTCGTTAATCAGTTCGCTGTCCGTATAATTGTAAACGAATTGTAAAAGTTCCAGCTTGCGTATCACATACTCACTGGGTAACTCTCGTCCGTTTCCTGAGTCTTGATAAGATGCCTTATTCGCTCATGCTTTCTGTTTATCGAGGAATGCGCGGTTCATATAGTATTCGCCAATAGCACTTCGTAGGGTTCCCCAATTAGTTTCTATTCGTTCCCGGGTTTCTGTACTCTGACTATAATACCAGGTTTCGGCACTTCCAGTGAGTCTAGTTGGAACAAGCGTACCTAGTTGCTTAAAAACTATGTCCGACCTTTTCGCCAAACTGTTCAACTTTAAAAACCATCGTCTGAGGGAGTCGGGACTTCCATCCCAGGTAGGTATAGCCTCCATTTTCAACTTTACGTCAAATTGCGGTTCGGTTGGCGTTTTCTGAGTGACGGAGGTAGATTCCCCTGGAGGTGGTTGTCGTTCGAACGGATTTCGATGTGGTTGCTGCGGAATTCGTGGGTTACGCGAAGGTCGATTCTCTCCTTCGTCGTTGCTGTCGTCTCCATCTGAGTCTCCAGGGCCTGGCGCTCCTCCTGAATGACTCCCTTTAGTTTGTCTTACCGGTGTTGTCGGAGATGGACTACGAACCGTTACTTGTCTTGTCTGACCGCCCCTCTTTGATTCCTTAAATCCGAGTAATTCCTGAAATGCTTTAGAAGCGGTGTTCTGTGTAGGATGCCCGAAGACCGAAGAATTAACGTTTCTGGGCGTGCGGAAAGTGTAGCTCAAAGTTGACGGTCTTTGGAACCTCAATATGCTATCAGCCTCCCCTGGCGCGAAAACCGGCGCCGCTAGTACTGGGCTGGCTGAAAGTACTGGTGAGCGTTCTCCAAGCGAAACAGCTGGCGAACCTAAAGGTGTAGTCCTCGGCTTAGAACTCGTTTCAGCCCTTCGAGTGTCTGGGAATTCATGATGATCGCTGAGGTAAGTTAGAAAATTCTCCACTTCCCGTCGATAACAAGCGCCTAATATTTCAAAGTCGTTAGCATTCCAAAATTCGTCGGCTTTCCCTGTCAAGCCCCATCGCGGAATACTTGGAATTCCATATCCTGCCATGATTAAATCCTCCTCCGCTTGTTCCCGACGAAGTCTCAGCCGCTGATTCAAACTTACGAGAATAATTCTCTGTAGAGCGAAACCAATGCGTTCCTCATCCTTGAAACAATACAAGTTGGTGAGTAATTCGTTTAAAATTCCCAGTTCCTCGGTAAAAACCTTTTTACGATTCCTGGACATGTTCTTTCCGGGGTAATTGGATATAGATCGTCGTAGGCTAGTTTCCCCAAACTTTAATGCTTGAAGATGACGTCCTGCTGTAGAGAATACCTTTTCGGATTTCTTTAGTCCTTTTTCCATATCTCCGTAAGAAGAAAAGGCCTTACAGCTGGGGAACTCGATAGTGATTTCGGAATATGCGCTACGATCAGAAGGAAGATCACTTGCTCGATAAGGACCACCTAATTCAGTCAACTCTCCAAATTCTACCAGACCTAGACTATAATCTGACCTTATGTCGTCTTCCTCCTGGTCTGCAGGGCCTTCAAAAGATTCAACGTGTTGTCCACCACTTGGCGCGCTTTCCGATATCGGCCTTGCTTCGTCATTTTCCGCTTCTGGAAGAGTGTTTGTCGGCGGCACCACTTGAGAAGTTGACGATGTGATGCCTGGTGTAGTACTCGTGCCGCCTGCCATACCAGCTGACTGCGAGTTATTAGTCTTACGTCCGGTCTTTCTCGTGCCTTCGTTGTTGTTAGCCATCAGAGTAGATCGTATTTGAAATTCAAGGGATATGCGTTACTGGGGATAACAATCTGATGGTTACTGAAAATGATTGGCGTAGGTCGTGGGCGTAAAGATCGAAAATGTGTTCCTACGATATCGATTCGTTCAGATTAAGGGTGTTCGGTGGGCGTAAGAATCGAAGGATGTACTCCGACAGTTCAGAAGTAGTTCATAAAACTGAAATCCAGTCAGTAACAAGAAGTCTCACGCTTGTTAGGGAATGTTCCCAATGTGTCCACCAATGTTAGAGTTTACGACTCTGCGTTGGTGTATTCCTATGAATACAAAGTTAGCAGTTAATCGTATTTAGACAATGTTACCTAAGCGAGAGAGTCAAATGCGTTGTATGTAAATACAACACATAGAGGGCGAGTATTCCTAAAAGCGTAGAGAGTCTTGAGTGTCCGTTGAGTGTCCGATGACAGCGTCACTTGATTGATCGTAACGTCAGCGTGTAGCCTTGATGGTCGATCAGAGTGAATTGATAGCACTTAGCCTTATAAATTTACTCAAGGGATGCTGCTTAGTTCGAAGAACTTAAGTCAAATCAAGTTGGGATAAAAGTAAGTATGAAACTTACTTCTTGCATTTCACCTAATTTAAATACAAGTAGAATGTAACGTAGAAGTATCTAGATCCTTCATATTCCTACTACAACGTTCCTTCGGATCGCTTACCAAACATTTACCTGACTCAAAACTGTTTGGTTCGATTTGCATTCCTAACAAAACCTGTAATCCTAACATATACAAAGCGCATGACGCGCGAATACAAGTCGTGTTTGAGCGCGTTCAAACGCACTAAGTACAATCGCAACGGAATACAACTATCTAAAGAGATAGTGCAACAGAATACAACTAAATAGAAACTAGTCAGATAATACAAAGAAGAGATGGAACATTGATGAAGTTATCTGGTGGTGAGAATGAAAGGATAACGAGACTAGTAATAATCAGAGTACCCTAACAAACATCCTCCTCCAGGGATTCTGGAAGTGGTAAAATTCCACGGGGACCATCTTGTATCATGCTGAAAAGAAACATGTCTCGGGGACTGCGTTCACGCTCCCCTCTGATTTGGAGCTTGTGTGAATTCCAAGCCAAAGTCCACTCATCCGCATCTTCTTGAATGCAGTCACTAGTGCCTACCACTTTTATGATAAAACCTGGGCATTTGCCTGCACAGTTTTTTCAATCCCCCCAAGTGAAATATGAAATGAAATGCCTAGGCTATTTCATTCTTGCTTGGCAGCTATTTCATTCCTACCCACCACATTTTTCATTTCTCCTTGACAATGAAATACATTTCATTCTTTTGCCTGTGCTTTTTCATAACTTTTTCATTCTTTGCCAACTTTATTTCTTTTCTTTTCATTCTTTGCCAGTATCATTTCATTCTTTTGCCTGCGCTTTTTCATAAATTTTTTCATTCTTTGTCAGTCTTATTTCATTCATTTGCCTGTGCTTTTTCATAACTTATATATTTGTTTGGTTATGATGGGATCAAAATATAAGACATGTGATCTTTTAGTTGCCTCAATTTACATGTTTATTGCTCAATTAAGTTAGATTATGGCCTCAAATACAAACAAATGTAAAGATCACAAGCCAGGGGTTGATTAGGTCAAACTATAGCTATTAATTTGAGAATACATATGTTTATTATTTACAAACAAATAATGTGTGTTTAGTTATGAAAAGGCTTAGAGAGGCAATGAAATGAGTTTCATTTTTTTAAAGTGCAACCCTAACCTTAAACATGGCAAACAATGAAATAATAAGTTATGAAAAGGTGCAGGCAATGGAATGAAATAGGACTGGCAAAGAATGAAAAAATTTATGAAAAAGCGCAGGCAAAAGAATGAAATGATACTGGCAAAGAATGAAAAGAAAAGAAATAAAGTTGGCAAAGAATGAAAAAGTTATGAAAAAGCACAGGCAAAAGAATGAAATGTATTTCATTGTCAAGGAGAAATGAAAAATGTGGTGGGTAGGAATGAAATAGCTGCCAAGCAAGAATGAAATAGCCTAGGCATTTCATTTCATATTTCACTTGGGGGGATTGAAAAGACTGTGCAGGCAAATGCCCAGGTTTTATCATAAAAGTGGTAGGTACCACTCCATGCAGTGAAGAAAGAGGTGATGGAGAAGCCACCTGTCGTCAGATGACTGTGGATTGAGCCCGTGGTTGACTTCAAGATCTAAGAAAAAGTTCTTCCACTTCATCCCGAAGCCGTGGGTGATGTCATACCACATGCGCTCTATGCGAGTGTTGTGCACACTCCTGTCAATTTTCTCAGATGGCTCCAATAAGACTCTCAATAGGTAACTCACCTGCCCCAGATATACGAGCCCCGCCCAGATCCTCTGTTGTCCTCCATCCACTCAGCAACTTTTATATTCTCTGTCCCATGGTCACCACGCACACGGCTAGGCGTCCCATGCTGGGCTCGGGCTTCATGGAATGTTATAAGGACAGTTTCAGCTCGATTGTTGTTGTTGATACGAAGCCGAGCAACAAGGCGCGACTTTCCATCAACAAAGGCATGCTTGACAATACCAAATCAGATAAGACCTAGAAACGACTATCAGCAGAGGGCTGCAAATCTTAATGTATTCTGAGCCTGACCATGCTGACCATCGTGATGCCAGAGAGAGTTGGCACCTGCCACTTTATAAATCTTACGATGAATTGTGCGCTGCCCAAACACTCCAGGTGTTCCATGTACCCGAAGAAATGATTCTGTGATGCGCTCCCGGGGGACATGATGACCACTAGCCTTGAGACGACCTGCAATCATGCGTTGGCCAAAGGTTGGAAAGATCTCCAGAATGCTGGACAAAAGTGCGTCAAGCTTGTCATTGGTGAGAGCTGAGATCCCACGAGTTGATGTTGATCGCATGGCATTGATAACACCATCAGGCTGCATCTGGGGAACAAAAACAGGAGTTCCTGGAGTTGCGATACCATATTCAAGTGCCCTCTGTCGCACCGTCCGAGCATCACAATTGAAAATTGGCTTGAGACCTGAGGGCCCACGGAGTGCCAATGCTTCCCTCAGAAAGGTGGGATCTATCTCCACACGAGGACGACCTGGTCGCCCACCACTCTTCCGAGTAACGACAACAAGCTGCGGCTCATCTGGTGGGTCAGCTGATTCGTGGCGAGCTTGATCCAATGAGTTGACTATAGCTGCAAGACTTTGTTGGAGTATGCTGAACTCAGCAGGGGGGAAATGGTCCTGAAGCTGTTATCACAAGAGTGTTAGGCATTTCGCAGATGTGTGAGAACTTGAAAAGACATACTTGTTCAGCTGCTTCAAGCAAGCGAACTGCCTCATCACGTTGTTGAGAGAGTCGGGCAACATCACCAAGCTGAGTCCTCAAGGCAAGGTGAACACGATCCAGCAGAACGAGATAAGCTGCCCGAATATTCTTGAGTTGCTCTGACATGATTGTGGCGGATAGGTGAAAGTCAAGAGATCACATTGAAAACAATCGCAGTGCTGAGATGCCCTCACCAGATCCACGATCGGCTTGGCAGTTCCTGGGTTCCTAACAATTGTCAAAGATTGTTAGAGATCATAGCTAGGTCCCTTAATTCTGAGGTCGACGGAAAGCTGAGAATCTGGAAGATTATGGAGGATTTTCCCAAAATGATTCAGTCTTAACTTTGCTCATGTACCAAATGTACATACCTACAAAATGCCAGATTGCCAAAGATCTCAGGTCATAAATAGAGCCAAAGCCTAATTGTAAAGGAAAGATTGTTGAAGATTCTGCAAAATTGTTGAAGATTGTTCGCAAAATTTGACTTTCTTCCTTCACATGTTTCTGAGATGGGATAATCTTTGACAATCTTTGACAATCTTTGGCAATCTTTGACAATCTTTGACAATCACCAGCTTTATTTCATGAAAAGTATGTAGGAAGAAAAGAAAAGTGGGTTTTGTCCACAGACGACCGTCAAAGCAAGTTGATATTGGTATAATCGGTATTGTGACGGTTGAGGGTTCGCAGTCTTGAACGACAATGGACAATCATATTTTTGTAATGTCTCGTGTTAAACCCATTCTGTTCAAGGTATGCCCACCCCAATAAAGCATGGGGTGGAGAGGAGAAGAAAGTGGTGGGACAGGTAGCAGAGATAGACAGGAAATTCCGCAGGAGTGGCGTGAAACAAGACGCAACAAGACTGTCATGATCCACGGCGCATAACGATTTTGACCTTGACTTTGCCGAGAAATTCGTGAAATCCCATATCGGACAAAGACTCGAAGAAAGTGAATGAGGGGGGGAAAGATGAAGGAAGGCCGTGCAGGAGCAATGGGTCGGAGTTCGGTTTGGGGAGGCAAGTTCTGAAGCTTATGTGGCCTCAACATCGACTGTGTTCCACAACTACTGCCACAAACGACAATCTCATTGCTCGGTACCCAGTGCTCGAGATGCATTAACACCATCTAGTCATGGGATACTTTCAAGCGAAACTGTGTCTAACCATGTCAGGCAAAGGGGTTGTGATGGTGGGGATGGCCTTGAACGTTCGAGGGCTTTGAACATCACCCGGCTATTTCGCATGGACGACGGTATGTGCTCATCTTCCTTCTTGAACGCTCATTCAAGACCTCTTCAGAATTCATAAAAATTTGCCAGGAAAGAACCGCCAATAACGACCTCTTGTGAAAAAGTGGTCAAGTTATCCCTTCGCTACCACGTCGACTAGCGGAGCCCAAGTCTAACAACTTTGACAGGCAGTCTGTCTGTCATTTGGCAGCACATCAGCGCCTTCTCCGTTCCTTTTCCTCTGTTTCGGCGAGAAAACTGAGGTGCTGGCACAAAGCCGCGCGCGGTTCTGAATTTCTTGATTCAAACCCCCGTTTCCGGCCAGATCTTGATTCACCCCACATCCTCCATCTACGCTGGATATCCTGTCAAGCTCTACTCTTAGCAACGAAGGGCAATACACAACTCACCCTACGATACGGGCCCGTCACGTGACAGTTTTGGAACCTCAGGAGCGGGACATGATTCACTTTTGAAGCCTTTGGACGTTTGTGGAAGTCTCAGAACCACTGGTTCCGTCTGAATGAAGGCCGACCTACGGCGGGAGGCGCTTGGAAAATCATGCCTCTATGTGGCATGGGGCTTCAACTGCACAGCGGCCTCTTAAGCTGATCTGCACAGGGCTCATTCAAAGACATGCCGAGGAGTTCGTCCTGAGTGTATCTGCCCACCTGGAGCACCCCTCTAATCGGCTTTGTGGAGACCAATCATTGAACTGGTTGAAAGAGGTCTGAAAGTCGAACGCTGCCTCCTGTAGTGGAGAAGGACGGTATCGTGAACTGGGCCAACCCAAGGAGGTGTCTGGGCGGCGAATGTGCAGTAGTATCCTGCCGCTCACCGCGCGGCAAGCGGCGTCAAATCCCATGAATGACTTCTCCATGTTCGTGAAGGAGGCGTGCCAGGCTTTTGCGAACCCGACGTTTCCACACATTCGGCCCTCTGTTCCTGGATGGGATGGCTTCCTATCCAGAGCAACAAAGGCCTTCATTGTCACTAGACAGTTGTACGGGTTGCAAGGGGTCCTAAATCCCCAATTGCTGTCTAGGGGTTGGAATGCTGTTGCGCCGTGGTGAAATGACTGGGACGTTCAACTTTGGGGTGCCCTTTTTTCCGCAATCGTCAAAAGAGCCTTTTATAGGCGAGGAAGGAATAGGGACTCAACATTTCTATATGGCTTTACAGGAATTTGAGTGTTCCAGTCGAGTCAAAAGCTAGTGAGGAGAGGCTATCGCCACCACCTATTGTCCGGTCCTTGGACGACAGGCAAGGTGTGCACTAGGTGTGGAGGAGTCTCTAAGTGTTGGGAAGGCTGTAGATTGGCTGTTTGGAGCAGGTACCGCTTGTTCTCACAGAGTTGTGTTTGAGGCGGCAACCGTTGGACGTTGAGCGGGTTGGGTTTCTCACAACTTTCAGCAGTGCACTCCTGGGCGCTTGGACCCATGGTGACATCTCTTCCCTTCATTACTCCCCCGCCAATCTCTTTCTGACCAGCTAGCCCTCCTACGCGCCGATCGGCGGCAAATGGTGAAGGACACGGTTCCTGCGGTTCAGCCATTTTTGGCCTACAAAGATCCAGGATATCCAGGAACGAAAACTTTAAACTTCAAGTCAAGGAATTCCAAGGTCGCCGCTGTTTTGACGGCTATTTGGACCTCTTCACCCCAAAAATCCCATATAAAATCCCCTCCGTCCTGGATCTCTCTTTCCTTATCACACCCACCGTCACCATCCCTGCCCCAACGCTCCTTTGCTGCTGCTACAATTTAAAACGTACAGCGTTTCATTCCCTATCTATGATGCCTCGCTCGCAGCGGGTTTTGCCATCCTTCACCCTCGCCCTCGGTGGCTCAGTCACCCTCCGCGACTTTCAGCACGCCTGCAACCGGGAAATTCATATTCCCATCCATGCTCTGCCTGACGACGAGAACCTCTTGGTGCGGCGTGTCCGTGACATACATCTCCCAGCCACTGATTTCCCCGTCTTGTCCACAGCGCACGGTTGACTTACGGACTGCTCCAGCTCCAGCCTTCATCGTTTACAAGGCTGACTACTATCCGGTAGGTTGCTCCTTCAAGATATCCATTTCGGAACATCTCTTTGCCCATTTGATTTTTGTTTAGGACCCAGAGGCCGCGTCCTTATTTGGCGATGCGCAAGAGGAACAAATCTCAGAAGGCTTCTTTTGGGTATGTGTGTTCGAAGCTGAGATGTGTGTCACACTCATCATATCACAGCGACGCCTCAAAGCCGTCCTGCTGAAGATCAAGGGCTTTGGAGGCCTCTTCACCATCTGAGTGTCTTCCTGCTTTTGATGCCGAAGCCTTCACATGACCCATCTTGTTGCTCGCTAAACGCTAAACATCTCTTGCATTTTGTCATTGTCAATCCCATTATCAACGCTTCGCGGCCTTCTTTTGTATCATATATATAGCTTTGCAGTATCTGTTGATCAACGCTTCATTCGCCTTCCTTTGTAGTATATAGTTCTCACCATGATCTTGATAATTCAGGACACTCACACAAAATATAGTCGTTCTTGCTCGTATGACAGACAAA